TTTTATAATAAACATATGCGTTTCACTATCTATTTCATTTCCTCATTTCGTGGTCTTACGACCATTTATTCATTCCCAAAGTTTCAGTTCTTGTAGCTTTGTAGGCCTCGAGATGGAAAACCGGTACTGACAAACACACAGACACGTACAAACACGCAGACAACCCCTCCATAATGTACGTTGTTGAATTGCAAAGATACAAAAAACGCATAATAACTGCTGCTCTAGATGAGGGCAATTGGGAGAAGTGTGAATTACAAGGGCACCCTTTTTGGTGAGGACAACATATCAGATTGAAACTGATCGGCATTGAATGCTTAGAAGAAAGCAAGCACGAAGAATTGTGCAAGAGCGAAATGCTTCTGATAGTGAAGGCGCCTATGAATGCAACCGGAACTGGTATATGCGAAAAAAGCGCCAGACCCGTTAAAGTAAGACGGAAATCTTGGCCTTTTGCCGAAATACTGAAGCTGATCTGGCGAGTGCAAAGTTGCATGCAGAGAACATGCTTCGGAACCAAAAGGAAGCCAGCGCATTCCGCATTTTTATCAGTTTTTATGCGTTTTTTGCAGTTATGCAATGCGAAAAACGCATATTGACGAGAGGTTGTCTGTGTGTGCGCAGGACCTCTGCACCGATTTTTCACCTCGAGACCTGCAAAAGCTACAGGGCTGAAACTTTGGGAACTTAATCTACATGCGGGCCCCCATCCCCAGAATGGGCGGTCTTTCCCGCGTGATACCCATGTAAGAGCCCGCCAAAGTTTTTTACGGGCAAGCTGCTAACTCGCGAACCAGAAAAGCTAGAGGGCTGAAATTTTATGGGAATGTTGATGTTTCCCGTCCAAGCAGATACTAATGCGCTCAAATCCAATCCTCGGGCGAGCGTGGTACCCCCGTACGGGCCCGCCAAAATTTTTCCCGCGTAAATTCATAACTCGGGGATCTGAGATGCTAGAAAGCTGAAATTTTAAAGGGGTGTTTCCTGCCAGTTTTGGAGGCCAGTCTTAATTTGTTTAGCTAAAACGACCTGCCGAAAACCGATGCTGGTAGCGACAAAAACTGCGGAGAACTGTGCAAAAAACGCATCATCGCACGGACAACCCGTGCGTTGGTTCCAATTATTTTTCTTTTTAAAACAGTGTCAGGAGTCGATGTTCTTTACACCTCCCATCCTAAGGGCTGAAATTTTTGAATATACATTTCATACTGGTACGCATGGTACTGAGGTTTTTACCGCCACCCAAGTCTACCACAACCCTGACATTCCTATTTGAAACAACCACTTTTTGGTCGGGCCTCCATGCCCCCTTCTTCTTCATTTCTATTTCTTCAGGCACTGATATCTTCGTTACTCAATCACTCTGGATCAAGAAAACAGCATGTGAGTTGTGCAGCATCCGCAACTTTATTTGCTTCTCCAAAACCCCAGAGAAATAATAAATAATTCGCCAACGCACGGGTTGCCCGTGCGAAGATGCGTTTTTTGCATAGTTCACCGCAGTTTTTGTAGCTACCGGCACGGGTTTTTTCAGCAAATGCTTTTAACTAAACAAATTAAAACTGGTCGCCAGAACTGTCAGGAAACACCTCCTCAAAACTTCGGCTTCGTAGCTTTCCTGGCCCCTGAGTTAGCAAGTTACTTGAAAAAAAGTTTTACGGACACCTGTGTGGGTACCGCGCATACCCGGAGACTGGTCTGAAGCTCATTAAGACTTACGTGGACAGGGAATGTCCTCTAAAATTTTAGCTTTCTGGCTTTTCTGATTCCCAAGTTCGCGAAAAACTTTCACAGGCCCGTATATGGGTACCACGCATACCCGAGAGCTGGGTTTGGACTCATCAATATCTACTTGGACGGGGAACATCCCCTTAAAATTTCAGCCTTCTAACTTTTCAAATTCTAGAGTTAGTGACTTACTCGAAAAAATTTTGGCGGGCCCGTACGTGGGTACCACGCATGCCCGAGGGCTAGGTTTGAGCTCATTGAGACTTACGTGGACGGGGGACAACCCCTTAAAATTTCAGCTTTCTAGCTTTTATAGTTCGCCAGTTAGTGACTAACCCGTAAAAAACTTTCACGGGCCCGTACGAAGGTACTACGCGGGCAAGACCGCCCATTTTGGGGGTAGGGGCCCGTACATGCATGTAGATTAAGTTTCCAAAGTTTCAGCCCTTTAGCTTTTGTAGGTCTCGAAGTGAAAAATCGGTACAGAGGTCCTGCGCACACACAAACACACAGAGACACAGACGCACAGACACACATGCACACGGACACACAGACAACTTCTCGTCAATGTGCGTTTTCCGCATTGCATAGCTACAAAAAAACGCATAAAAACCGAAAACTGCGTATGTTTACAACTTTCTCATCAGTCCACAAACGAGTGCATTTTGCGCGGCCGAGCCGAGTTTCAGTGGTTGGCCTCTCAATCACCGATGTACCCCGTCACTCACCCTCCATGTCTCACTAGTCAGTAGTGCATAACCGGTGGCAGAATAACGTAAAACGACGGAGTTAGTCGAATTTCAGTAGCACGTGAGAGTTTGAAAACAGAACGATTCAATGGTGAAGAATCGATTGACAGCACTTCAAAAAACAACTCCTCCAACATGTAGGAACACCGGATACTTCTTTGCGGTAACGCAACACATGTTACTCCTCTCATCCCTGCCTTGCCCTTCCCCTCCCTCCCCCGTCTTCCCTCTCCCGCGACTTCCCGCAACTCAGGAGTACCCCCTTCCTCCGCAGCCTTGAGAGCT